TTTGCTCAGGAATGATCAATTGGAATTTACCAATTTATCAATTAGCCTCTCTTTAGTTCAAAAGATAGGTTTGTTGTTTAGTTCAAAAGAAACCGTTTGCTTATATGCTCATGGAGGAGACATCGCGAAATGTGTTCCGAATTTTTCAATTAGCTTTCTTTCAGATATAAAGAAGGGAATGTAGATCAATCTTGAAAAGTAGTAGGGAGCGACTCTCTTTCGTTCCCAGGAAATAAATTAATAAATATATCTAAATTTCGATTGACTAGTGTCAATCATTCAAGCGTTGGAGGTATCGTATGAGTGGTGTTGTGGCACAGTCGATAAAGTCTGAGGTTGTGAAGTCTATACATGTATTGGTATGACTGGGTTGGATTCCGGTAGAAGTATGAATTATTTTTTTTACATTTTCTTCTGTTTTTATCATGTTTTATTACGAAAACTACCTTCGTATATTGTAAGATTATTTTTGTAAGTATCTTTCAATTTTTATGTTTTTTTTTTTATTGGGAAGGAGTTTATGTAATGGGTGTGTGCAATGTTTGTTTGAAATAATTTAAGTGTTACTTATAGACTATAATGACGTAAGTTTTTATAAAAGTTTGTAGAAACTCTTTTCACATCTTGATTCTTTTTCAATGGAATAAAAAACATAAAAATTGCACGATATCTTATAAAATTAATCTTAATATATAGAAAGGTAGAATTCATGCCAGAACATGATAAAAACCGAAAGGAATGTAAAAAAAAATAGTTACTCCTACCGGGATCGAACCCAGTCCAGAGCAAGATATTGATTTGGCAACCTTTTATTAAATGATATATTTATTGTTTTGTAAGAGTACAGTATTGAGGACAGAAGGCTACAATAAATATTCAACAAAAGCCTAAAGGGTAAGGTAAGGTAAGTTATGAGTATATATGTATGTCTGGGTTCTACCAGCGCTCGCATATAGTTAGTCTTGGATTTGGCATTATAAGTAGCGAGTATCAATTGACTAGACATTTTTACAACGGGAAAAAGTTTTTACACAAAAACAAAAAAAAACCCGCGTTAACGTATCGTTGTCAGAACTTGAAGGTATAGTTAGGAGCTAATTATAAGTTATATACTATATACATATGTACAGAGTGATTTGGCAACCTCAGACTTTATCGACTGTGCCCACACCACTCCTACGATACCTCCAACGCTTGAATGATTGACACTAGTCAATCGAAATTTAGATATATTTATTAATTTATTTCCTGGGAACGAAAGAGAGTCGCTCCCTACTACTTTTCAAGATTGATCTACATTCCCTTCTTTATATCTGAAAGAAAGCTAATTGAAAAATTCGGAACACATTTCGCGATGTCTCCTCCATGAACGTATAAACAAGCGGTTCTATCTTTTGAACTAATGAGGGGCAAACGAAAATTCCACTTGAGCAAACGTGAGCAAACGATGACGAAACAGAATCAAACAGAAAAATTTCAAATTTCGAAAAAGGTGGGGCCAGCTTCACACTTTGCAAAAGTTTGAATCGCGTGTAGCTTTTGAACTAAAGAGAGGCAAACGAAAATTCCACTTAAGCAAACGTGAGCAAACGATGAGCAAACGTATGGAAAAAGAAAATTTTGAGTTTTTCATATAGGTGGGACACCGTTTCGGTGTCGATTAAACCGTAGAGATTTTAAGCGAGAAGAGAACAATGACTGGCATACTAAAGGGCAAACGACGTATATGCAAAGGGTTGCAAGAATGGCAATTTGCCAAAGCATCGGCGATACATGAGTATGTTGTAAGAATCATCTATGTTTGGTGATCGAGACGTTCAATTCGCTGCCAATGTTTACATGACTCCTGCATTGTTTTAATACTCTTTGCGGTATCTCCTCATCTATTAGGGTCCGCTGAGCCCCCTCTAGCTCGGCTACCTCGGGGTTGCTGTACTATATACAAACACCGCTACAGCCCCTGAGGGTTACAAGCGCGTGGAACGTGTAACACGTGACGGTAAGAAATTTTGATGGTATATTTGCGGAATTCAGTGTGTATACAACATAGACAAATGTCGGTGTCGATGTAAACATTGTCGACGAATTTAAGTTACGTATATAAGATGAACTGAAGCGAAGGGAACAAAACTTTAGAGTAACTTTAGAGTACTGAGTGGAATTATTGAAATATTCGTAATAAGGATCAGAGACAGGTAAAATGAATTGTACGTAAAATAATTGTCTTCGTCTTCCGAGGCACAAGAGGCTGATGACAGTGGTCTTGTTCACCGTCAGTGAATCGGTGTCGATGTAAACATTCTCGGCGAAACGATCGTTGGGGATCTCACATTAACCCGAACTAAATAAGCAGAACGTAGAAACAGGGAAACCTACTATTGTTCTTTCAAGGTGACGCGGTGGACTAGAAGCATTTATCGTTTGTCGGATACATTCCATAGCGAGTTAAGAATTTCTTTAGATATTATATTGGGATATAGATATTATATTAAGGATATTATATTGGGTTGTCCGGAAAGTTCTTGTCGATTTTTGGTAGGTGGTACAGGTCTGAATATATCGAAATGGTTGAAAACGAATAACATGTATACATCCCTTAAAAAGTGGAACGGTTGTGAAACAAAATGGCACCTATGTAATTCAATAAATACATGTATATATATTATATGCCTTTGAATTTTTCTTAGAAATTGACACGAACTTTCCGGACAACCTAATAAATATAATCCCATTAAGAATATCTTAATCTTGATATCTAAAAAAATATGACCTTCCTGACACATTTTATTCTATCGCAAGAAACACACCAATAAGTAAAGCGCGAAGGAAGCTTTGCTATAGAGTTAAAAGAGAGATTTTAAGCGAGAAGAGAACAATGACTGGCATACTAAAGGGCAAACGACGTATATGCAAAGGGTTGCAAGAATGGCAATTTGCCAAAGCATCGGCGATACATGAGTATGTTGTAAGAATCATTTATGTTTGGTGATCGAGTAACTGCCTGGAATCCTGACGAGCAGTACGTTTTGCGAAATGAATGTAATAGCAGAGTTGGATCATGGATTATGTCATCTGGCTTGTACGAATTATCTGGAGCCGTTTCTACTCAGACTCCGAGCCCATCTTGAGAGTCATGCTCCATATGAAATCATCTCGGAAGGCTTTCTTGCGTTCACTTTTCGAAAAGAATCACCTCAGCATGAATCGGCTCGTTACCGTCTACTAACTTGACATTCTCGAACTCTTTCCCTTCAATTGTTCTCCGAAGGACTTTCTATTTTTACTTCTCCATTGCGTGAACTGTATTTTATCTTTCAAAAACTAAATCATTCCTTTCAGTTTGATCCTCGATAAATATCCTATTATAAATATATATGAAATTACCATCACTAGTAATTATCGAGTACTCGCTCGACCATTTTAACGAACTATAATATAGCCGTTTAATCGAACCGACGAGTTTTATAGATCATTAGAGGCTTTATGCCACATTTTGCATAGCAAAATGTCTCATATACATTGAACTGTCCTCGGTTGAATTATTACTTTATTTCACGACTAATAATAGTCGCATCGGATTTTGTAACGCAGGTGTAATACGTTACATCACCGACTTATTTGTATTTTATTGCCTTCGGAGCTGCTATGCATTCGTCCGTTATTTTTTTTTCTATCGATTTCAGATGCGGATGAAGAAATTACGTGTAATTTTCTTCTACTGAAAGGAGAAGAGTGTCTTACGTTAAACTTTCGAGACAGGGGCTTGGAAACTGTACAGCCAAGAATTGTAATAATCGCAATTCCAATGCTTTTCCACTAATTATCTCTCGTCTCTGGCAAGGAACCCAGCATGCAGTTAACGTGTAATAAACATAGCGTGTTTACTAAACACACACTTCTGGTGAACGATGATACGATGGTATGCGACACCTTCGTTCTCCGCCATTAACCTCCGATCTTCAAAACTTTTGGATCCAGGGATTCCCAACTGGAATTCTTTCTTTGTTTAACTTCAATTTCGACATATTTCGAAGAAATTGCGATATGGCTATCGCTCAGCCAACATAAAATTTGATCGATAGAAGATGTAACTTTTGTCTTCGTAATAATTTGTTATATTATATAACAGAGGGTAGAAGCAAATATGTTTGACGCGTAGATGCGTTGGATGAGTTCTCCAGCTCATCCTTTATCTTCTGCCTCCACTCGTTCAATCATTTGCCAGCCTATTTCTTCATTCACCTTTCATTCGTATTACAAGTTATAATAGTAATTGGTTCAGCACATCCTAGCACCGGATGAGATTGAAATCTTCGGCCGGGAATTTTCCTATATTTTCAAACGTTTCCAACACAGAAATTCAAAACAAATTTCGCAAACACTTCCTCCCTTACAGGCACGCGTAATGAAGTGTAATTAAACAACTGTATATATCTTCTAGCATTTCCCGTGACTTGAAATCAGCCACACGTTAGATTTACAAACACACACACACACATATATATATATACGTATATGTAATATATATATATGTAGTATATGTAATAATACGTATATGTAAATATATTTTCTATCTTTAATATATATATATTCAACATAAAGTTATATATATATATATATATATATATATATATATATATATATATATTCAACTATACAAATTAAAGATAGAAAATATATTTACATATACGTATTTCTAAGGAGGTTCCCAATTGCAAAACTGGAGGAGTGAATCCCCATTCGAGGATCCTTTACAGAGATGCTTTTCTTTCTTGCTAATGGAAAAATTCCAAAATCCTGTAGGACTTTTCTCGATCGTTGACACCTGGAGATTAGGGGATTCCCCGTGGAGCCAGTTGCAAAACTGGAGAAGAGTGGCAGAGACCTCCCATCCGGGTGAATCCCCGGGCTCTTTCCATTCGAGGATACCCCAATCACGTGCGTGGATCCAATTAAAATTTAAAGGTGTATTTCAGTCATCAACGGGATACATCTACCCATGATGCATCACCGAGTGAAGGGAAGATGCGCTCCTCTCCACCTCCCACACCCACGGACGGTCATTCTAATACGCTGGTTAATACGTGGATATGCAGCACTGAGGATAAACTGTAACAAAGGGTCCAGCATGGTATATAAACTCTGCCGTGGATCATCTTCTCAGTTCACTCAGCGTCTTCAGTCATAACAGCAATATGAATTACCACCAGGTAGGCTATCCTCCGGCTTATGGCTCCTACTAACCACTGTGGTGGCGCGTTCGTCCTCGGTAGTTTCGTTCTAGACTGAAAACATTTTTTGGAATCTTTTTGGTTCAGATTTGAAATTTCATAAACTAAATTAGTTCTAGCGTGGTGTTTCCATTTAAAGTGATTAAAAATTGTCAACTAGGATATTTTGAACTAGTAAACACCTTGAACTTCGCACAGAAGTCAGAACTTAATAATAATTTAATAAACAATGTTTGCGATTGACAATCATTGTTTCTTATTATTTTACGCTCTCTTCTTTGTTTACATTAAACGGTCACGGACAAACAAATAAGTTAAACAATTTGGCGCATTTTTAATTAGAAAATGAATCTAACTGTTATGTCTGAAAAGTTCAAACATTAGCCGCTATATATTCTCGAAATATATCCTGTAATAATCCCCAGAGGGATGCATGCGCCATCTTAAACTGCTCGGCAATCATCCTCGATTGTAGCAACACGTTAATTTCGCCACACACAAATTACGTTCAGCGAATCATTGGTATGCTTCAAGCTTTCTATTTCACTTGGCATAATCATTCTCTATGACTCTTTTCGTTACCTACGCTAACGACGTTTCAATGACGAAATCAAACAAGAAACGTAATCATCGTAAAATCAAAGTAGAGACGAAACGAGACCACTGTCATCAGCTTCTTGTGCCTCGTAAGATGAAGACCGTACAATTGATTTTACCTGTCTCTGATCGTTATTACGAATACTTTAATAATTCCACTCGGTACTCTAAAGTTACTCTAAAGTTTTGTTCCCTTCTCTTCAGTTCATCTCATTGTGTGGTCCTGTTCGCCACTTCATCGTCCTGTTTAATCTTCTATTATTCTGCGTGGAATCATTTTGTTGATCCTGTTCCAGTTAACGGAAGTGCTGTTGGTGCTAACGTGTCTCAGCAGTAATGCGCTTGCTGGACTGTTGCCGGGTGGTGGTGGTGGTACCAGTGGAGGTGGTTACCAGTACAACAGACCAGGAGGAGGTGGATTCGGCGCTCCAGGTGGATTCTCTGGGGATGTAGGAGCCGGCAGAGGTGGTGATTTCGCTGGAGGCTTCAGGGGGAGGCCGACGGGAACGTACGGACCTCCAGGCGGCGGCGGCGGCGACGGTGGTGGCTTCGGAGGACGTCCCGCTTCATCCTATGGAGCTCCTGGACAATTTGGTAGCGGCGGTGGAGGATACCAAGACGGAGGATACCAAGGTGGTGGCTTCGGAGGCTTTGGTCGCGACAATGGAAGGGTAACTACAATCGAGTCGCAAAAACATTGGAATACTTTCTTAGATTTGTCACAATTGTCTTATGTTTTAGCCTCAACCATACAGCTTCCAATACGAAGTGTACGATCCTCCAAGCGGAAACGACTACTCTCAACGTGAGAGCAGCGATGGTAACGTGGTCACAGGGGAATACAGAGTTCTTTTGCCAGATTCAAGGACACAGATTGTGAAATACATGGCTGACGACGCAAATGGATACACCGCCGATGTTCAGTACGAGGGCCAGGCTCAATTTTCACGTGGAGGATCGGGAGCGTACCAAGGAGCTGGTGGTGGCTACCAAGGAGGTGCTGGAGGATACCAGGGTGGCTATCAGGGTGGTGAGTCCAGTTTTAATATTATAAAATAATAACCCCATAAGATTACATATACGGATATGTTATTCATGAATTCTTTTCTATATTACCACAGGTAGGGGTGGTGGATTCGGAGGAGATGGTAGCAGTAATCAATATCTACCACCTCGCAACAGTTACCGGAAGTAACTTGCTGAATCATGCTGCATCACCATCAAAACGCTAAATCCCCCAACTACTGGGCGACAACCTACACGGACCTCCCTCGTTTACAGCTTCTACTTTTACACAAAAACACAAACATCTACACAATAATCTTACACCACTGAGTCACATGCACATTTACATTAATAATCACCCAATGGTATTTAACTCTGTATATCTTGATTAGCATAATTTAATGTTTTATATGTATACATTACTCTGTACATGGTAACTTTATATATTTGTGTACGTATTTATGCGAGCTTGTAGTAAAACACAAAGGAAATACATCTTTGTATTTAAATGTTCTGCTGAAATCAATTTACCTTAAAACTTCTTACAACAAATAGATCTGCACTAGACTGTAGATTTTGTAATCAACAACCACATCTTTGGTTTGAATTATTGAATAAATTGTGGTACTTGGCAATCTAATTGAGTACAAGATAATGAGGGACTCACCAAAGGAAGCTATTCAAGAGGAGGTGATTCTGTATCAAGTAGGACGACATTGTTGAAAGTTGATAAATGAAAGCCTACAGCAAACCAGGCTACAGCAGTTGTAATGTCTCCAGTTTATTTCTTTGCAGAGCTGATAACAAAATATGAACATATTTTATGCACTAGACTGTAGATTTTATAATCAACAATCACATCTTTGGTTTGAGTTATTGAATAAATTGTGATATTTGGCAATCCAATTGAGTACAAGATAATGAGGGACTCATCAAAGGAAGCTATTCAAGAGGAGGTGATTCTACATCAAGTAGGATGACATTGTTGAAAGTGGATAGATACAGACCTACAGCAAAACGGGCTACAGCAGTTGTAATGTCTCCAGTTCATTTCTTTGCAGAGCTGATAACAAAATATGAACATATTTTATAACATTTATAATCACGAACACATTTCTAATCCCGCGAAAATTGCACCTCTACGGTTGTTACAAGCGTACCACATAAAGAAAAACTAACCGCAGTTCTAACAGAAAAAGAACTAAGTTACATTGTCATAAGAGCCATCTTGCGAGCATGTTTTCAATTGCTTAGAAATTATCATCAGTGGTTGTGTTACCGACGAAGAAAGGTGTTTTGAATAATATTCGGGGGAAGCACAAAAAGATTTTCTTTGTCGTGCAACAAGTGAGTGAGCAAGATTTGAAACTAATTCGATCAATTATGCGTTGTTTGTTGGTGCCTGGAAGATGAAGACAATAGAGGGAAAAGTGGTGGCTTTGGGATCCCAAGGTAAGTTATATGTATACATATCAACAAACCACTTCTTTGTGCATTAATCGTATCATTCTTATAATTCACCCCTTTGGAAATGTCAAATTTTCGTTTTCTTAATGAATTTATGATTTCTTATGACTTTATCGTCGTTCGTTACCCGTAAAGCATTTTAGGTTAGTTTCTAATGTTTATATCTGCGCGTATTATTCCCTTCACATGCCCATACCCCTATTTGTTCTATTCTTTAAACAAAATTCCAAATTTCAATAGATTACAGGGGAATTCTTTGTTTTCCAGGTGTTGGGAAAACAAGTATGATCATACGCTACGTCAGGAAAGCATTCAACGAACGTGCGAATCCCACGATAGGCGCATCCTTTTTTACGTGTAAATTAAATTTGGTAAACACAAGAATAATGCTACAGGTACAATGATGGTCATTTAAAGTGTAATACGAATAGCAGTGCATAGTTAGTTCCTTCCAGATCCGAAATTAATTAAAATTATTTAATTTCAAAGAATATTAATATGTCTGTCTGAGTTTTGGACCCAGTTTCGAAGCTCTGCTGTGGTACAATAGCATGGATTTAGTTGCTTTGTTGGGTTTAGGTCTGGGACACTGCTGGCCAGGAAAGGTTCAGGTCCATGGCACCGATGTACTATAGAAATGCCAATGCAGCCATGTTGGTGTTTGACTTAACGCAGTATAACACATTCACAGCAATGAAAGGTTGGGTGGCAGAGCTTCGCAGAAATGTGGAGGAGACTATGGTGTTGGCAGTAATAGGGAATAAGTCTGATCTGATAAATGAGCGGCAAGTTGATAGTGAGGAGGGTAGAGTCTATGCAACAAAAATTGGTGCCAGTTACCATGAAACATCTGTTAGAGATGATGAAGGTATTGAAAGTGTTTTTTTGGATATTGGCATGGGTCTGCTTAAGCTATCTTCCAATGAAAGAGAGGCTACATCCATTAGGGTATACGAGTCAACAAGCTCCGATATGAGTGGTATGGACCCATGCTGTACACCCCTAGAGGAAAGTCCTCAGAACCTCAGTATTGCTCACGGGATACAAGAGAGAATACACACCTGCTGCTAGTCTTTTCTATTTTGTTTATGGCTCAAATATAGTCTAGTGTCAGAAGCAAGTATACTTCATTTGTATTGTTTGAAGATACTAACAAAAGCACTTCAAAACTAAACTAATTCCACTCTTGCCTAAAAATTTACGATTATGTAGTTACATTCTTCTGACACTAATCCTTTTGTCAAGTGGGATTCCACATAAAAATGTACTAAAATGAGAAGTCATTCTTATCGCAAGAAAATAGATGTCGCTTGTAACGATAACAACGACAATGTCTTCCATACATGATTTCTATATAAATATAGAGCTCATTCCAAACATACTCTTTTCTTGTGTATTTAATATTTCTACTGTTTTTAATAAAAGTGAAAAACAATCTGTGAGTGATGCTCCTTAGGTATAACGTTTGTTACCTTTCCAAAAATAGAAAATAAGTTTAGAACATATTACATTTTATTAAAGGCTTTTGCAGTGCTATGTCGAGCGAGTCCCAAGATAAATTTTCGATGTTATTTTATTATTAGTATTCTGAGAATACTACATATCTTCTTTTCAATTAATTATAGGAAACGTTAGATTTCTGCTAATTACTAGAAAAAACGCTCGTGATATTTTATAAGTAGCAGAGTTCTGTATTCGTAAGTATGAATAGGATAATCATGAGATGAGTCATCCTCTCTTTGGGCCTGGCATCACGAACCGTGACGCGTCCCAGCTTTGTTTATGTTTGACTTATCTCGTTTTTGTTACGTAAGTGTTCCTTTAGTAAACCTACTTAGGCCAATAGCGGTTCGAAGTAACGAGGGTCTGATGCGTTTGTTCAAATGTCGTGCCGATATCGGGGAATCCCGTGATGAAAAACGGAACAATAATAAACATTCTAGACAATGATCTTTAATAATCACCAAATGGAATAATAATAGAACATTCCGAGTTATAATTTTTGCACACATTATAATACATTTCATACTGTACTTAAATTATTAAGAACTCCAAAAATAGGAATGCTAATTTTTGATTTACTTATGAAAGCGGGAATATCGAATAGTTATTTCTGCGAATGGGACACCATGTTTAATTACCTATAGAACTATGTATTCGTTACAGAACTATGCTTAACATTGCGAGATACCGATTACGCAAAGCCTTGAGGTCTTCTGTTCCGTTCCGAGCATCGTACACAGGTGTACTGTGTGCGAGTAAGCTAATTAAGCTCGTTCATTCTGCAGGAGCAGCCACTGCGGAAGAAACGAGATTGCACCAGTGGGTGACTTTGTATTGAATGCGTGCGAGAAGAAAGGCACGCGCTATGCGAATACCATCAACTGTTTACACACCACCAAATAGAAGTACAATGTACACAAACATGAACTCCAAGGAGTTCCCTTATGTTTACAAGTGGGTGTAACACTACGTTCCTTGCAAAGGAAGAAGGAGAGGCAAACAGAGTCTATTCTAACGTAATGCTCGCTTTAGAGAGCTCTCTGCGTTTTGTTTACGAGAGCAGACAGTTAGTCGGTATCCTCGGTCAAGTCCAGGTCGTCAAACATGCGGTGAACCACAAAGTATTCGAACGCTATCGAATGAACGTTTCGACAGTTGAAAATATGTGAATCATATGTTCATTTCACCTGCAATTTGTAATACGACTCGCATTTATTAAGCTTTTCATTTGAGAGCGTCCGAACACTTGTGGCTCATTGTATGTGCAAACCTCGCGCGATTTCCGTTGGTTTGAACCAAGGTCGTTTCTCGAGTCTTTGCGCGTACAATCATGCGAGCTTTTGAAACAACAGCTTGTGGTATTTTGTACAGTTAACTCTGTATAGATATTGTTGTCGATATGGCAAATTTCGGATTGGACACCGTTGTTAACGACGTGAAAAAGTTGATCGACATTTTAAACAGTTAGAATTGTCTACGCTATACGTGAAACTATCTGTAAGATGATCGGACGAAGATGTAACAAGAGACCTTTGCCAGTCGTGTTTCACGTTCTTAATATTCTTCAACAATGTTTACTATTGCCCGGTCTCATGATCGATAATCGCATAGCAGTCGTTGCCAATGGTAAAATTTAAAGAGGAACGAACCACCCTCGAAACATTAAAGTATTAAGATATACACCGTATATACAGGGTGTCCCAAAAATGTTGGAGTTCCTTGAAAGGAGTGTTTCGGGAGGTGATTTGAAACAACTTTTTCCTTTGCGAAAATATCGGATGGGGCTTCTTCGTTAAGCAGATATTAACAAAAAACCCCGACCAATCAGAACGCGCGTATACCGTTGGAGCGGCCGCGGTAGCGAAGGCTACGAGCTAGGTGGCCGCGTCAATGTCCTTCGTGCACGTCGAGTCACTTGTTCGCGTACGAGCGCGGCCACCTAGCTCGTAGCCTTCGCTACCGCGGCCGCTCCAACGGTATACGCGCGCTCTGATTGGTCGGGGTTTTTTGTTAATATCTGCTTAACGAAGCCCCATCCGACATTTTCGCAAAGGAAAAAGTTGTTTCAAATCACCTCCCGAAACACTCCTTTCAAGGAACTCCAACATTTTTGGGACACCCTGTATAACTTACAAACGGTGATAACACATTACTGATAAAACGTAAAACAAAGAAGAAATCGATTTTTCCAAACTGCTAGACTAGAAACCCCTTAAACTCTGTAAAAGAATTTCTCAGAAAGTATGTTTTCATCTTAGATTGTTATACGAGGATATCGGTCGGTTCTAAATTGTCCGAGGCGGATATCGTGTCTCAACTCGAAGTCGCAGGTTTATCGGAATGCGAGAAGCAATGTTCGAAGAACGAACCAATTTGCAATTCCTTCGCGTTTGGGTAAGAAAAACTGTCCGCTGGGTAGATTGTAAATATAATATTACAGTTCGAGAAATAAACTTTCGGATAACTTGTTGATTAACTTGTTGCTTTTTGTGGATTCGATTTGATGTTAGCGTTGGGCTAAAGGGCAACGGTACCTGCGCCATCAGCACTCGAGTACCGATGCTGGAAGATTTAGTAGCTCATCCTGATTACGACGTCTACTTAAAGAAACAAGGCCCACCGTGGTGCGACGACTATCCATATAACAACGGCTTTCAGCAAGAGAATGAAAGTCATTTAACGAAACAAGAGAAATCGAATAAAAATGGCCACGTTGTACTCGTCGGTGACCTTTCTTCGGAATCGATCAAGGAAGTGTCACAGCCACTTCACACGCAATCCCTTCCGAGGTAATATCGTGTGGAATTTGTGATGATTCATTTACGAATGCGTGTTCGAAAATATTAGGTCGTCCTAAAAGTTCGTGCCATTTAGACTTCTATTTCTCAAATTAATATGTAAAACATACTCTTAAGTGTCACAAGAAAAGATAATCTGTCTCATTTCACAATAGTTTCTCACCTCTCTCAGATAGTCATTATACCGTTACTAGAAAATTTCTGTGGTTTTTTATTAAATTTCGACACAGTTTTCGGCACGAACTTATGGGACGATCTAATAAATGAAAAATTAAGGATATATTTAATTAAACCTATTTGATAATCGATAAAAGGATACGTCTTTGAAATGTTAAGAAGCAGATACAGTACGACGAGTTACGGGCTCGTTGGTATCTACGATCGGTTTGTCGATCATGACGGACGTTTTCTTTCCGGTGACGACAACCATAGAGTCTTGGACATCCTCGCAAATAGAAATCAAAAGCCAGCATCGAGCAATCCTTTAGGTGAGTTACAAGCCTTCGTGCGTGTCCACGTCCACGGTAATCTTCTGTGTAACAAGATAGGAGAAAACTGTACACCTAGAACACTAAACAAAAATGTATAATGCAGCGGACTGATAAAAGAAACGCCTGATTTTTCTATTCAACAGAAGGTGTTCATCGTGAATCCTTTGGAAATCCATCTCATCCACGACTAACAGGAATAGAGAAAACAAAGAATCACCTGAACGAGTTCTATTTTTCTGCCTCCCCTCCATTTTCATCGACTCAATTCAACACACACAATCATCCAGCACCTGCCAAGATTGTTCAAGAAAGAGTATTGAACAGACACGACAAAACAGTCGATACAAAAATTAGATATGTTCCTCATACTAGCGGGATTACCAGAATACGCCATGACGAAGACGCGAAGGTTCCGAAAAGTGAAAATGTTACGTTAAAAACTCAGCAGAAGTTTGAATGGAATAAATCTCCCCTAACATTAGACTGTAAGTATTAAACATTGAAATAATCAAATAAAAACAGTAAAATTTAGCATATTATAAGTGTATTTCTATGTTTATCCTTCACTGTGATTTATTCCAATCAGTGGACATTTATCAAGTAAAACAAACAGACAAAAAAAAAAAATGGAAGGAAAACTGTTTTCGCGATGAATCACGCGATTTATGCGCCTCCCGCGAGTGAGAGTTTGTTCATTATATTGTACATTAGGGAAAGAACGGCATTGACACGAATCACAACACGGTGATAACATCTAGAACGAGACAAAATGGCCATTATTCTACTCTTGTCGCGATTATCATTCTTCCGATAAACGTTCAGACGTTAATTCGACGTCGATATTTCTGTAATACACGATCATTCACTGAGGACGAGTTACGGCGACGGTATATGCAACCACGAAGGACTGGCTAGCTGAAATAATTGCCATGTCCTTGACGAATCTACAAGGACATGAGCAATGGAGCTTGTTCGACTTTAAAATCGCATTCGTTTCGTTGCGGGTATAATCAGACTCTTGGAAGCAAAGAAGATAATATTTGTTGCAAAGGAGAACAGATGAGAATGTTAGAAATTAGAGAGAAAAAAGATTAGAACAGTTCACTGAACATAGATTATTTGCAAATAAAAGATTATAAATCTTAATAAATAAAGATGGAGCAATTAAAGAAGAGAACACTAAGATTTCGTTCATTCATAAAGCTAATTTTACGTAAGATAGTTAAATAAATTTCTTTCATTTTTTCAATAATGAATTTAGTGTCCCCGCAGTTTGTACACGATCGTTAAGGGGGGAATCCCTCCTTTGACGCGCGAATATCTCCCACTAGTTCCACAAGAGCGTTCACTTGTCTATAAAATCACGCTGGTCTGTAATTTCGCCATTACCTTTTGTACATGCATTGCAATTTCCACCTTGTGCTCTCACACGTATTTATTCCCCTTAAAGTGCCGGTTCTATACAAGTACTCGCCAGTATGTGAAACATGTGTGTTGACAAACCCCCAGGAGGTCATGACACCTCCGATATGATACCTTCGAAAATATTATAATTGTTTGTTTGTCTGGTGGATAACGAAAATTAGTGAAAATGTTGGAGAAATTGTTGTTAAGGACTCTGGTGCTTTTGCTAATATTTCTTCCCCTAATTCCAAGTTCAACAATGATATCAAGGAGTAAGTTCATTGGTGAATGAAGTGAGAAAGAATCATCTATCTGTTTTTCCCTTGACGTTTTTACTTCCATTTGTATATACATATTCAAACAGCGAGTATATTTTTAAATGTCTAGTTCCTATCTGTCATCGGAAAATGCAACCTGGAATGAAGACGATGGAACTGCACGTACAACGTGCCATAAACTGTGACAACTTGCACGACTGTCGTCGAACATGTGACTACGAGAAGACTTTCGACTGCAAAGGTTTTAACTATAGGTGAGGGAAGCAAATATTTTCATTGATGTCTCATTGATACTTATTTCCAATTTACAGAAGTGGATCGGGTGGTTCAACCGGCGTGTGTGAACTAACAGCAACGCCATACTATCGCATGAATGTTGACAGAGATTTTTTGATGGATCCTAGATACGATTACTATGAAAGGAATAGAAACTGTCCGCCTTCTACATGGGCCACTACACAATGGACAGATCAGCCTAGAGTTTATGATCAAAATCGGCAAGGTGGTTCATGGTCACGGTTGGACCACAAAAGTACCAACGAAGATCTTCCAGGCCCACCAAACTATCCGGAAAGCTATCCAACTAACCAGGAATTCCCTGGCAGATTCCCTGGCGAAAATGTTCAAAACTGGAATGGGCCTATTTGGCAGAATCCAGAGTTGCATTATCCTGGTCCTATTTACGACAATTCTGTCCACGATGCTCCCATCAACTACAACAAAGAATTTTCGAACGAAAGACCTTCAATTTTTCCAAAGCATCGACCCGAAGATCGATCGGAACCGCAGGATTTCAATATCCCACGGGAAACCGATCAGATTTATGGAAAATTTCATAATTATGGTAGCGCGTTTGGATATAACGATAATTTTGTACCGACAGCGAAAGAAATTCCTTACGAAGAACATCAAAAATCGCCAAGAGCACAGAAATGTTCCGTTAGATCCGCAGCGGGGTCAAAACTAAGTAGGAGCGTGTTGCGTAAAACTTGTCTGGCGCGTGATTTGATGCAGTGCGAAGATCTTTGTGTCAATGAATCAGCTTTTTCTTGTGGAAGTTTCGCTTATAGGTATATAGATCGAAGAACAGGATGCTTCTTCTGTCTTATTTTCTATTGAATTAAGCTGACCAACCGCTCTCACTTCGTATTCTCTTTTTATGCAGATACAATGTGTTGAATACCAACCCTACGGACAACTGTTTACTGAGCGATCTTCCTCACCAAGATTTAAACTTTTACACGGATCTCGAGCCTGATCGCGATTACGACAGCTATGTGATCATTCAAGATACCAAGGTTTGTCTCTCAAAGAAAGCAACGAATCAGTACCCAGAGGAAGAGTGTTTCTCTAGGGTCAGAAGCGGATTTGGTATACCTGCAGATGTCACAAAGAAGTCGATGCATGTCGACGACTTAGGAGAGTGTCAGTTTGCATGTACTATGTCGCAAGAGTTTGTCTGCAGAAGTTTTGTCTTCAAATATGGAATGGAAGAGTATAACGATCATGTGCACGGACATGGTCAAGATCGTGCCTCGACCAATTGTTTCTTGAGCGATTGGCCACCTGGAGATATAAACCCCACCAATATGCCTGACATGGATGGAGCGGAATTATATGAAAGAAGCAGCTTCTCCTACGGCTGCGAAGCATACCCTGTACCCTTAGCCATCCCTGATGTAGCTACGCCGCACGACAGGCTACCCAATCAGTTACAAATGGATGAACTTTGCTACTCGCAACATTACAGGCCATGCAAACTAATGGCCCACGCAATAATGTCCTCGACAAGAGCGGACAGCAAATCCGAGTGCCGTCAAAAGTGCTCCACGATGAGGAACACGGGTGCCATACCACCCTGCATGTCTTTCAATTATATGTAAGCATCATTCTTTTTACTGCAATTGAATTTTATATTTATTAACATTTTTAAAGTCTTCCATTGTCTATAGGATCGCTAGCGATAATACCCGAGATAACTGTATGCTGAGCGAAATACCGATACGAGATCTGAGGCCAAATGTTGACTACATCCAGGATGACGATCATTTACTATACGCCTGGAGAGATCTTGATCCTTATTGCGCATCAGTCCCAGAAGAACACAATCAACCATTTCCTCCCGCGCAAGATCATCATACTCATGGTGTATTCGACGACGGAACTCATCCTCTAGAATCAGATTTCCATCCTCCTTTTCCAACCAGAAATAAATTCAGGCCTGGGAATAACGAGGATCATCAGATCGATAACGTTGCCGGCTCTCGCCCTGTTTCAGATGGTTTTGAACAGGGATTTGACTTCTTGTACCGTAAGTAAAAATGATAGTATATAACTTATTTAAAATAGATGACTGAATTTTTTGTTTCCTTTTACACCAACTAGCAAGAAGAGAATTGTCCACTTTCCAACATTATACAGTAAATGGTCACCCTTGCAAGAATGGCACAGTTTGTCAACGCAATGAGGTTGTTGATTTCTGGTCCTGCGAAACCGAAGGAAGTGAATATGGTAGCTGGGATTATTGTTGCAACCCTAACCATAAATGTGGCTTTTCACATGGATATCATTATCCATGGTAAGATATTCTAAGTCATTACATATATTATGAACCAGTTTCAAGTATCAATAATCCATATTTTGTAGGTGTTATGTGGGCTCTAATGAAGATCAATGGAGGCCTTGTAGCGAAAAATATTACCCCTATTATTTATCCAAGGATCATGCAACGTACGGACAATCATCGGCGCGCCATTGGCCAATTATGTATCTTCACAAAACGTTGCCACCAAACTGCACCATCAACCCTAACAGTCAGAGTTTAAGTCAAAATCACAGACTCGTTGTGAGAGCTAATGGAAGTTAAAAAAGATGAATATTTTGATATTTATACCATAAGCGTATTAATAATAGCATCCTAATAAACAGAACTAACCAATTTCCTCCTGAACAGAAACGATCAAATATCTTATTACTATTACAGTAACAAATAAAACTCTACAACCAAACTGATTATGTTTTTTCCTGCTATATAATATGATTCCTATTTTCCAACAAATTTTAGTAATTCAACCAGATTCAATTCTTTATATTTAAGGTATTTTCTGATTCTTACAAAAGTTACAGTTGGTTACAGTGTATTACAGTGCTACCAATAGTATCTGTTGTTTACACCAACTCCATCTTTAGATTGAACGAACAATAGTTACATTTATTGACAGTAAAAGAACAAAAAAAACTCGACAAACGATAAACCTACGTCAGACAATATTGATAAGATCTATTTATCTCGAAAAATTGAAATTTAAAACGAATTAAGTACAACAAATTCACAGGGTAAACATGGTTCAACAACACTCTCAACTATCACGTTTAAAGTTATGATGGAATGATTTGGTATCTAAGGACTAATGTTTCTATTATTTGTGTTAATTATCAATTGTTGTCAAGGTGGTTGAAAAGAGTCGTACTCGTACGCGATAGAGTTCTATTTCCGTACTATCGATTTTACCGGCTAAGTAGACATGCGTTTAACGGTTTAGCGTCACAATGTCAAGTGCTCCGGTCAGGAAAGTTGCTATTAAATGTTTGACGTTACACGCATTTCACTATTATGAGTGTATTATGTAATGCGGATCGGAACAGTGGATATCTGTGCTACGTTTTCTAATCGGACCACTCTATAATTTGTGATGACACTTGGAACATGTGCCTTTTCATAACGTGAGTAACCGTTTCTTTTTCCTTTTCTCGCTTCTTGTTGTTTAATATTTACTTTAAAAGTAATGTACTTATAAATTACTGCTTAGTAAAATAATGAATGTAACTCTGTTTCTGTTTTTGGAATAAACTAAAGTTTGTTTGCATTTCATATGACACGTGAAATGTCAATACAGAATTTACTGTAATACATTGCACAATCATAGCTTCAAAAATCAATAAAATTTGTACATGTATTTGATGAAGAACCAAACATTTGTTTAACGTACACGCATCCCATGGGAAAACAAAATGGTGCCTAGGGACCCAATCAAGGGAAACCCCCTGAACGTGTTCAAAAAATCATTACTTTCAGTTAGTATAAACAAATTCTGTAAGTAATTTATCAATAATTTGTAGTAATTGAAAATGATGTAACAAACAAAATTGATTATGATAAACCAATACTCAATTTGTCAATTGAAACACACGGAAAGTTTAAATAAATGAATAAGTATTCTGAATGGTTTAATGGTACTAGCCGCGCGGTTCAATTTGTCGAGGATAAATATTTTATAACGCTTTACCTGAATGACAGTGACAACTGTATATGAAACTAAAAGTTTTCCTGCGATGTAATCACGATTAGGATGCCCCGTACTATAGAGCCACGTTTGCGGAACACGTGCATTAATCAATGCCAAGGTTATGCGCTTTCTACACTTCTTTACACCACGTAGGGGAGACTGGGGTCAACCGTAACACATTTTCTATTTTCATTCGTTTCAGCACTTTTTACATATTTTCATTCAATTTTTTTATCGGTTGATCAATTAACATTTAATGTGTAACTTTTTATCTTCTTTTTTCGCGGGGAAAATCTTCTGAAGACGATCCTGCTCTTTGGAAAATCCCAAGTTGGGAAATCCCCACGGTGTCCTTCTGCGTGCGCATTACCCTAGTATTCAAAATTGCATTTTATTTTCAGTGCCACGATTAGCATGCTGCGAGCCAAAGAAAAACAGGTGCGATCCTTCGACGAATAAATAGGATTGGAATTGATTACTAGCTACCTTCAAATATGTCTACCACTGTAATTGGTGATGTACAAGCTCTGCAAACTTTAACAGTTCACACAAGCGACGTAAACAGCGTTGATTTTGCCGGGGACTGCATATTGGTGACCGGATCAGGGTAAGAATAAAATTAAAATAATAAGTAATTATTATATGCTTGTCTCTGATGTTTTTAGAGACAAACGCGTTCGGGTCTGGCAATGGAGGGCAGGCAGTGGATACGTAGAAGCCTACTTTTCGCCTCTTTTGGGGCACAAGTATGGAGTTACATCTGTGAAAGTTAGCCCTCGGTCAACAATGCTAGCTTCTGCTAGCATAGATGGCACAACATTATTGTGGAACTTAAGAGTAGGTAAAATGATTTTATTGATTATGATTTGCTCATTGATATAGTGTTGCCTTGGATGATGTATGATGTACACATGATTCTTGTCCTTTGGCAGACAGGATCCAAAATACACACCATGGTACAAGTGAGTGGAGAAGCTGTAAGGGTCTGTAGATTTTCTCCAGATTCCACTCTACTTGTAACTGCTGGAGACAATGGCCAAGTCTGCCTTTGGGATCTAGTTCGACGAAGTCTAATAAGGTATAATTTTAATTAATTAATTAATTAATTAATTTTAATTAATTTTTTAAAATATTTGTATCGTTGCTTAGATGTTTTCAAAAGCACGACGGTGCTGTACAGAGTGTATGTTTTTCGCCGGATTCAAGTTGGTTAGTAACAACTTGCACGCTCGGCGTCTTGAAGCTATTCTCCACTGCCGATATTATGGACTCGTGTGTTTCCGACAATCAAGCAATCACTGAATTAGCCTGGGTAGATGATGCTCATGATCTGGGTGTCGTTTCTTGCGATTTTTCAACGTTTCAGGAGGTTACAAGTACGTATTGTAGGTGGTTTAGAGTGGTCGTCTCTTGACATACAAACGGATTCCAAACGATACGATACGATACATTTGTAGGTAATGAACCATTCACACAGCAATACCAACTAGTTACTTGTGGTAATGATCACTGTGTTAAACTATGGGAGGTAACTGTGATACAGGCTAAATGCGAGACTCAACCGTCCATTGTCAAGATAGATATCTGCAGAGTAATGGAGAAGCATAGTAGTGCCTTAACTTGTGTACGCTTCAATTCAAACGGATTGTACATTGTCAGCAGTGGACTCGACAAGACAGCGGTGATATGGGAAACGGTAGGATGGAAACAGATTGGCCCCCTCCGCTAAGACATATAGAGAACAAAGCCTTGGACAATTTTAATAATCTTTCAGAGTACTGGAAAAATAATGGCAACATTGTCAGGGCACAACAGATACGTAGCATGCTGTGCGTTTTCACGAGATGGAAACTTATTAGCCACTGGTAAGTGTGCAACAACTAATATTAGATTGTTAAAACAACATAGGAATCCATATCATTGTGTATACTTCTGTCGCTAATCAAGGATCCAACGACAAATCTGTTATCGTTTGGGATTTAACGGGAAGCTTGTGCCTCGATTCGGAGCTGGCTAGGCGCGATGCGCCTATGTTGTTCCTGGACGAAGAGGTAGAAACAATTTGAAAACAACTCGCAGTGGAGCATAGACAAATGTTCTGTTCCTTTCGTAGAGCATTAAACACGAACGAGACGTAATGAGAAACGCAGAGACGTCGATAAACGACGTGAGATTAATTCAAAGGCTAGAGAACCAGGCCGGCGTGATAAACAGCGTAGCCTTCCATGGAAATAATCTCATCGCTTCTGGATCTGGGTCAGTTTTATTTAAATTTTTGTCAAATGTTCAATCATTGTTCTGTCGAATTCAGGGACAAGGTGGTGCGCGTTTGGAGCATCGAGACTGATGAAGAAGAGGGCGAGATTATTATGAAATTCCAAGAGAAGCCTTACAGCCCACTGGATGGTCACACGTACAGCATAAACTACGTGGAATTTAGCCCGTGTGGTGGTATGCTTGCGTCTTGTTCTTTGGATGGTACAGCAATCATTTGGAACACCGAGGTAAAAAATACTACGTAATACTACCAACTGATTGATTGATGCGTTTGCATCAGTATTTTGATATTCTGTAGAATGGTTCTCAAGCAAAATCTTCTTTTGTCAACTCTGGATCTGGAGTCCGAGTTTGTCGATGGTCGCCAGATGGTACAAAAATTGCCACAGCTGGGGACGATGAAAGGACGACGCTGTGGGATGTGAACGATATGGCGGAACTTTGGTACAACTTTCATACTTATAAAAAAAGAGAAATATATGTGGGGAATACAGTATCCTGCTACTGATCATACTAGATTATACTATTATGCAATTGTTAAATTGTTGGAAACTACTGCAGTGTTTACAGCGGTCATTCTGATGCAGTAAACGCGATTGCTTTTACCTATGATTCCCATTACTTGGTTACTGCTTGTAATGAGGGAACCTGGAGGTTATTCGACACCACCAACTATAAGTGTTGCAGCGCGCTGATGACGTGTGAAGAAGCTCATGACTTAGGTGTTCAGGGATGTGACTTCAGCCCAACAGCTAATTTCACACTTGCTGGTAAAGTAATATAATAACACATAGCGATTTTATGTCTAGCCGTCAATCGTTTCGTGTTGCTCTGAAACCTAGGGAGAAAGTCGGATACAAGTAACGACAAGCAGTGCTATCTACTAGCGACCAGCGGTAACGACTCCTTGGTCAAGTTATGGCAAGTAACCATTTACAAGGAAACTAAAATTCTCACCGGTGGCACTGGAAGCAGCGATGGCAACACACGGTACGAAGAAAAAAAGACTTTAACTGGGCATGGTGGTAACGTGACTTGTGTCCGGTTCTCGCCGATTCAAGGCGAGATCCTAGGAAGCGTAGCTACCGATAGAACTGCCCGTATTTGGAGCGTGGTATGTAGATGTCCGATACTACTTTTTCTCCCCTTTACAAAGGAAAAATCTATCAGAAAGACATGCTGCAGGTATTTAATTCTCCTATTAATATATTCTATAATGGAGGAAATAATGTGATTTTAGTATTCTGGGACTTGCTTGTACGTACTAGAAGAACATGAAAGTTTCGCGACTACCTGTGCCTTTTCCGAAGACACGTCTCTTTTTATTACAGGTCTTAATTCATTATTATTCATAATATATACTATTCAAGACTCCCATCCCTTAGTCGAATGGTGTACAGAGAGAATTTCGAAAGTTTACGAACCCCTGGTCTAGATTGTTTCTTTGTTTCATTAAAAGTGCTTAATCCTCACGAGCAGGTGGACTGGACAAAACAATTTTAATTTGGACAATACCTCAACGATTGATATCGCAGAATGTCCTGATCGATAACTTGCGACACAAAAGGCATAAGGTACACAGCAAAGAGGAATACTACAAGCCTTTTGCACGAGGGTAGAGTGTTTAATGCGTTGTTAACGAGTGAATCGCCTGTTAGGTTGCAGACTGGAGAGTAGACGATACTTTGAAATGGCTAAACGAAATAGGACTATCGTCGTTAACGAAAAAAGCTTATACGGCCGTCCTAACTGGAAGACAATTGTTTACTTTATCGGAAGATGATCTAATCGAGCGGCTGCAAATTGAAGACGACGAAGAGGTATATTTTAAACCTAGTACAGATGTAGTCCATCATATTGTCGGTTTGCAACTCCCAATATGGTTTCAGACAGGAGAAGTGTTCAAGACCCAATTGTATTGGCTGAAACGTGAAGACAGCAACGCTCTAGAAATGCCTATAGATGACGCTGAAATACCTCACGAATTTTTATGTCCCATCACGCATGAAATTATGAAAGAACCTGTTCAATGCTCAGGTGAGGAACATAGATGAAAATTATGCTCATAAATACAATTGCATAGGACAAAGTAAACATTTGGATAATTTCAGATGGATTCACATATGAGAGAGCAGCCATTAATGAATGGTTCCTGTGTGGAAAATATACCAGTCCAATGACAAATAAATCTCTCCAAGATACTTCGTTTTCACCAAACATCGTGCTCAGGAACACAATATATACTTTCCTTCATGGAAACAGACCTCAATCTTGAATGATAATACTATTCATTGATTGTAAGGTGTAATATGAATTTTTACACAAACTCATGGAAGACTTGTTCCTTCTTACTGCTGTGCATATTCACTTTTCTATGACTGGTCACATTTTTGGCACTCTTTAAACTTGTGAAACATACAAAGAACATTACATGCACTCACACAAGACTCTGTATGAAGTATTATGAGCTCTCTTTTTAGAAATTAATGAAATCATTGACTTGGTTTTTGCTATAATTAAATGGCACAGAGAAGCTAATCTTTTGATGCGCAACAGTCACTTCAAATACAATGTATACCTTAATCCCTTTATCTTTTAGACTTTTAGACAAAGTTATAAAGCGACAAAGTAACAATTGTGAAGCGTTAAGTGTTAAAGATATTTGTAACTTTGTAAGAGGACCAAATATTAAATGTTTGTAAAACAACTTTCTCATTACAAGACCCTATCCTACACTAATAAATAAAACAAGAAATGTTTACTATTTACGAGTATGCTAAGCAATGCATACCCGTGGTCACTTCACTCGCCAAAGACCACGTAACAACCGTATTCTCTGACATATAATAATTCTGTAGCTATCCTTGTCGCCCATGTTTCTCTCTCGCACTCACCCTATCCTTATCTTTCATATTTCTTTCTCTCTCTTCGACTTTAAAGTTGATACACACAACATGCAAAAACACTTGACACAATGTCAGTATTTCATGAAACGAAAGTTTAAAAGCTTCTGAAAATTACAATCTAACTCTAATAACAGCGTTTGAACTCCATTGTTGTATTGTTTACCCGGAACAAAGCTCTACTAAAAAACGACAGATCGCTATATTTCTCTAGTGAACTGCGACGAAACAGCTGTTCTGCTACTGCTGCTGGATGGTTACTTTGACAGGGAGGTCGAAGGATAAGCGAATGTATCATCTAAACTTAACGCTTTTAAATGATATCGCGAATATTCCGTGGAAAAAATGAGAATGTCGCTGTCAAGAGAAAATTGCAAATCGACACGTTGAAAATCTTTAACGACAAGTAAGAGAATCCATTCCTAATTGTAACCTCTACTCATAACCTAAATCGCCCGTCTGATTTTTGTCTATCTTTTTCGCAAACCTTGCTTTGTATTTCCCATCGAAATAAAAGACTCTGGAAATCGCTATTCTTCCATGAAAAATGGAGCACAGGTTCGTTTCTTTATACACCGAGAGTAACGATAAATTGCTAATTGGCTCGTTATTCGTGCCAAGAAGCTGATTCATGGCAGAATACTCACCTAGCTTAGTTGAAACGATTTTCTACAGTCATTGAATTTTTGGATTTTTAATCCAAATATTTTATATTATTCAGAAATCTTGCTCAAGGTCACTCTTTGTATGTTGTAAATTATGAATACCAATATAGATGAGACACTTATCTAAATTGTTTGTTGGATCTTCAAACAAAATACTTTATATTTCTTACTTACCTTTTTAAAGATCGCTTTTTCTATAGTTAACCTATTGCAGTACATATTTTTTTATCTCAATACATTTTTGTCAATTCTTAATTAACATAGGACTGCAAAGAATTATGTTGATGCATATTAAGCATTGATTTATTTGTTACATTGATTATATTTAAGCTCTTGCCATACTTTGACAAGTCTCTCTCAATCTAAACAGTGTTTGCAGATGCAAGTTCAAGGTATGGCAAAGGGTTTCTGATTAAAATTCTTCATAATGATTAACTGATTTGGTTCATAACATTACAGTGTAGTAGAATTAAGGGAAAATTTTGAGTATCAAGTACAATTCAATGCTGGGGAAAGGAGAATGGCTATTATGGTTTCTTTGTCTCCGGAGTTCCCACTGGAAAAGCCAGTACTCAAAGTTTCTCCTCCAATAAACCATCCCTGGTGTAATGAACACAGTGAAATCATCAGTGCGCCTGGGCTGCTAAATGTAAGACATCATTTACAGATATAACTCTCCATATTTACTTACACTCTGAATGGAAGACAACTATAGTTTGTACATTAGTTCACAGTGCACAGTGATCTTGGTCGGGTTGTTCAAGCTATCATTAGAGAATTCAGTAAAAATCCTCCACAACTATTGGAAGATATCTCTCCAGGATCTGTACAATCACATAGAGGTGAGCAACGAAAAAAAATAGAAAGAAACAAAATACATATCTATAACAATGCCATTACAGATCTGCAAGGAAGAAGTTCTCCATCTTTCTCCCTGCAACAGTATCCTGAAATTCCACCCAAGTCGTACAATTCTTATTACGCCACACAGTTTCCGCAGTATTCATCCGCTAGTGGAAGTACTTGCACTTACACTTACAATTACACCCATTCAGGTATTCAGTATGTGGAGGACGGTCATGCGGTCGCGCTGGACGATCATGCGAAGTTTGGGTCGTCGTCGCAGCATTCTACGTACACGACAAGCTCGAGAGGTGGTTCACTGCATAATACAGACCCCACAGGCTACAACTCGAACCACCAGGGAACGTATTTAAATTCCCATTACGCAAACGCTAATTATCAGCAGCCGTCGTTGCAGAATCAGGTTCAAACTAAGGCTCAGAGTGTAGCATTCCCAGAACTGAACAGCTTGTCCAATGAGGAATTGAAAAGACTCAGTGAAGATGATGACAATTTAGATGAATTCTTGGACAAACATTCCGAACTAAAAGACGTTAACTTGGCTATTGATGATGCAATAGATTGGGTCCAGAAAACTGCCGGTAAGTCCACTGTTGATCAATCAGAGGTAGCCTTCCTTCCTTCGGTAATTCTTCAGTTAACCAGCATTGCTTCCTTCTCAGAGGCCAATGTAGCCAAAGAACCCGAGCTTAGAGAATTGCAGTCTGATGTAGCAAATAAAGTGCAGATAGTTGCTACACTGAAAGCCAGATATGATCAGCTGATACAACGATACAACAAACTATCAGAAGTGTTTACTCCGGATCACATAAAGGAATGCTTGAGGAAGGCAGCGGATGAAAGTCACGAGGAGAGTGAAAGAATAGCGGAGAACTTTCTGAACAGAAAGATCGACGTGGAACGGTTCCTCAGCACGTACATTGAATGTAGGAAATTAGGCCAAGCGAGGCGAACTAAAGAGGAGAAGCTGGCGCATCAGCTGAACGAATTGAAACGGGCCGGCTACTAAAATTAATGTATAATCACGTCTTTTTTCTATGAATCGAATTGTAAATAATGCCTAGATAAATTAAACGATAATGTGAATTCGAACGGCATTCATGTTTACCAAATGTTCTATAGGGCAAAGGCACTCGCTGGCAGAGAACACTTTTATAACGTAACAGTACATTGCATCACCACTCGTCATTCATACTGCGTCGAGGTTAGTTTGAATAGATTGTGTTTACGCATTTGGGGGAGGGGAGTAAACGTATTTCTGTATGTAACAAAAAAAATAATGGCGCTGGTTCGAACAAAGTAAAACTACGTATGTGTAATGCTTGAAATGTACTTATCTTTCCGTACAAAGAAGTCTATTGAATGAAATTCAATGTTTACTCTGTGACATACTACAATTGCATTGATACCGCTCTGATCAAACATTTTCCGTTTCTACTGTGTAAATAAACGTGCGGTGAAACACGATTAAAATCAATTTTTCAAAGTTTTGCTATTCCGTAACGTTACTCTAATTACTTATCCTACGGATGTTCCTAATATATTGTAACATAAGATATTTTGAGGCTTACACGGCCCAATTCTTCATAGTTGATACTAACTGAGACTTCCGTTCGTAAGTCTCTGTTAGTATCAACATTATAACATATTTACAATTATATAAAAACGCGGAAGTCTGGAAATTGAGGAAATACTTTTAGTTTTACTTTTTTTTATGCACTGGTACATGTAATTCCAATTAGGTTTGTTACTCTATTATTTGAGGATGCAGTTTAATTTCTGTACCACAAGATTTCGCGTTGAAGGTGCAAAAATATCGTTAGTTGCAAATAACTTAAGAATAGGAAACAAGTTTTTAATAAAAATAAAATGCGCGAAGAAAGTAAATAAATCGAAACAATTGTACTAATGATCATTCTAATGGTATTATCAAGACAGTATATTAAATACAAATGTAACTTAATATTTTATTTTGGTACAAACACTTATGATTAATAATTGTTTCGCGTCTCAGCTCTCATATTAAAAAAATAACTTCAACAGTGGGAACACGTTTTTCTCGTAGACGCATACCTACCCACACTTCAACGTTAAGTTTGCAAGTAATTTGCTATGCGAAAGATGAACGTGTACGAGAACACATTTAGACATTATATGCACACTTTTCTTTCTTAACAATAATACATTTTTAATATTTCGTTCAATTATCTTTAACCTCTTCAGGGACACTAGTACGGGTGTGTGCGTTCCTTTCTTTTCATTTTAATTGTTTCAACTGCAAAAATAAATTAAAACTCGTACGGCAGTGCTAATAGAGTTTCATTCTACATGATAATCGCTACTTTAAAAACATTGAAACATTTACTGAAGTGTAGAGTCTTTGTGATTATTTGAAGAATAAAATACCAGACGTGTAAAATGTAGTCAGTTAATTGTATCAATTTAAAAACGTAATTTGTATTATTAGTTATATTTTATAAGAGATTATAAACGTACAAATGTTATATTTCCCATAATCGTGTATTTGATTGCGGGCTCTGCGAAAATCTACTGTAAACAATAAATCCTTTTTCTATCGTACTAGTACACTCTGGTTACGATGAAAGTAAAAAATAGAATACCAAGAGGTGCCCTGAATAATTTGCCAATAATGCTCAACGATCACCTATGTGAACATTATTTCTTTCTGCGCATATTTATTGTTCTTCAAGTATTTTTTTACCTAGTGAATTGCTATTGATATGAAATAAATAAAACGTAATCGAATGAAAAATTAAATCAACTCTTTGTCACTTTACAAAATGCGTCCTTGGAGAGGTTAAGGATGTCCCATCACTTGTCGAGCTACTCAAGGATCAACGAATGAAATCATGATGTATCGAGTACCGCTGGTAACTCTGAGTCCTTCGTGGTAGTGCGTCAGTCTTCCAGGATGCATCAACATCCAACCCGGCTTGGTATCCGTCACGGAACAGTTGTATCGAATAAACCTGCAACCTCCACCCTCATAATCAACCCCAACCCTGTTCAGGGCAATGTTGATCGTATAGGTTGAACTGTCATGGTGCGGCTTCAAGGATGGCTGCTCATCCGGACGGTACCTCACGACGAAATTCATGAGGGAACGTGGTGGCTGTTTATTTATACAGAAACAATTAATTACTAGCAGACTCAATGAACGCTTAATCTAATTGCATAACATTTCAACAAGTCACTTCGTTAACACTTTGATATTTTAGGTGATCGTGTTAGGCGGAACAACCTTCATAGTGCTTACTATATACAGGTGTCAGGAAAGTGTCATCGATTTGAAGAATGAGTGCAATCTATTACAAAATTCCAGACTGTGAAGGCCATTATCAAAAAGTGCAATTGATTACAGAAAAAGAAGAGTCCCAAAATTTACTGTCAGTGCTTAATCGAATTTCAAAATCTGTGCAGCCAATGACCTAATTCCGATTTTCTGATGTTTGTAATGACTCTTACGTTCGACAGGTAGCCTACAAAAACAAGTTCTTGCAAAGGGCTGACGTATTCAGAAAGAAAGTATAACCAAGACTCGTGGAGGTCGACTTGTTTCATGTGAATATCTCGAGTCGGTACGGCTTCGTAACCACCATCGATGCGTGGATCCTAGAAATATCGATGCATGCATTAAAAGATCATGGTATAGCTTACGTCGTGATAGTATCCGGTGAACACGAGTTCCTGCAAAGGTCTAACGTACTCCTTTAAGAAGTATAGCCAGTGAGGTTCATAGTTCACTTGATTCATATGAATGTCACGGGTTGGTACGTTTTCGTAACCACCCGTTAATCTTGGATCCTGTGAAAAATATCGTTGTTCTATTATCTTTTATATCCCATGATAGTGTGTCTTCTTTAACTTTAGCCGTGAACACCAACAGCTCAACATTTTAGTATAAATGTTTACATATATACAGGATTAACTCGTTTAAAAGATAAATATAGGAACTATTTCATTGTCATACATTATTCGTGCCGTCCGACCACTTTCCAAACGCCTCCATAATTTCCACCAGCTCTTTTGTGAACTTCTCATTGACTATGGGAAACCAGTACACGTCTGGGCAGGGCTGTAGAGAATATTTAATTTATTTCTTAACTAAAATGCTAGTCAACATTTAATTTAAGATTCACGAAACTTGCCTGTATGGGAGTATGGTCAGGATTAAAATTCTCCGTGTAGTTGTCGTGTATGTACTTCTTCTCCCAATCCAATTTGTTGTCAAAAACTTGGTACATGTCAGGATTTGTCAACGTGATATCGTAACTATCCGGATTAACGAGATGTCCAAAGTCAAGCCTATTGCTGACGTACATAAAGATGGATCGTTTTCGGTTAGCATAAGCGAAAGCCATATCCGTATCCAAATTGTCTTCCAAGTAGGATGGACGTGTCTCTTTGTTACTTATCAGAGTGGCGTTGATTAGGTAACAGTTACTAATGAAGGGTACGTTCCACAATCCTCTGAAAGAACGAAACAAGTTGGTCGAACTGAATCGTGTGCTGTAACTATACTTTCATCAATCACCATATATAGCAGGAAAAATGTGACCTATGAATCATAGTTTGCTGATCGCTAATTTAATGAAAGAGTAACCTTGATAAATCAGAATAACATAATCAAGGACATCATTGGGGACCCTCAAAGGACGAATTGTTAGAGTACAACACGTGAGTATCTGATAGCTCTGTTATTCTCAAGAGATCAAGGTCTTTGAAAAAGCAGACGCACGATCATTGATGAGAATAACATACAGTAGGTCACAAAAGTATTTGCCTACCACAATATAAACACTATTAATACAAAAATTTCATAATAGAATTTGTTGTTTCAGTAGAAATTTCATGAGATAATTGATTTTCTTATAGACATGTGTGATACTTTTATGACCCACTATACTTGTTTGCCGGTTGCGCGCGGTAATGTTGTTTTTCAGAGGTCAACGCTTAAATATTTTGTAAGGCAATCACTGTGATGTCATGATTGGTCGATGAATATACACTGGCAATGGGTTATGTATAATTATCCAATTGAGATTCATAACTCTGTCACCAGTGGTGGCATGCACATCTAGCACTGACCATTCATATTTTAGGCTGTAGGGACAAGAGGACACCCAAAGCCACTGATCTTGCTTGATCACTCCATGGAACAAGTCTCTCCGAGTAGTCGATAAATACTCGGGGACTGTGAAGTTGAACTAGCATACAGAGAACTGTTTCTGTGTCGTAGTGTAAACAAAACTATCTTAAAAAATCTCGAGCGTTACGTAGACTAATTACATGTAACTGAATCCACGGATATTTAGTGTGTATCGATAGAGACTGTCTCAGAAGACAAGATACATCTGTGTGTACCTGTTTCATGTAAACTGTGCAAAGAACTCTATACACTTGAAACAAATGACCAGACGCAAATTTCTGTACCTATTTTTATTCATCGGTTTGCTGATGAGCACAGAAGCAGCAAAAGGTGGAGGACGCAGAGGAAGTAGCAGAGGTCGTGGAAGACTGCACAAGTCACGGATGCCTATTCTGATTCCTCATCGAAACCCAAGTAGTTTCAATTACTACGAAAACAAAGATGTGAGTCAATAATGGATAACAACTCGGATTCCTGTGAAAACAAGACTTGTATGCTGAGCGTCGATTTCAAATTTTCTTTAAAACCTAAACATCGTAGGGAGCAAAAATAGTGAAAGCCTCGCACTTCGAGTTGGATTACATGCTGGGAAGAAAGATCACCTTCTTCTGCATGGCCATTGGATTCCCGAGACCTGCGATAACCTGGCTGAAGGATGGAATAGAATTGTACCATCACAAGTTCTTTCAGGTACTCCTATCGCTTCAGATCTGAATGGACGATGCGCAATGACGTTTAGACTGTACAATGCACGTTTGTAGGTGCACGAATGGCCTGTCGGTAACGATACATTAAAGTCAAAGATGGAGATTGATCCTGCAACGCAAAAAGATGCTGGGTACTATGAGTGCCAGGCGGACAATCAGTATGCAGTAGATATACGTGGCTTCAGGACAGATTATGTTATGATCTCTTATTAATATTTTTCCCCTGATTTGTGGTTGTGCTAGGACAATGGTTCAAAGATCTTCCAACTCCATCGAGCAGCAATTATTATTCTAATATATCAGTATGAAAATTAGCTATAAATAGTAAGTTAAATTTTCAGGACTAGAATGTTTACTTTTCAGTTTCTCCGAAATTACAATATTGGATTTCCAAGTGTGAAGAGTAGGCTTATTGTTTATAAGAAAGTAATAAAGGAACAAGTGAATAAAATTATGTTAAAAGACTAATTAAGCGATGACTGTTAAGTTCTATCAAGCGATTATTTGCCCAATTAAAATTTAATAGCAATTAGTACGCATCTGCGTAAGTAAAACACGTCCAACACCGCGCTGTTTTCTTCGATGCATATTACTGTTAAGAATTCCAATGTGTAATGGCACACTTGGAAATTTAGAGTTCCCCCAACTCTTATTCATTAAATCACAATTGACTCTTATAAGGGTGGTACGTTTGTCGCACGAAGCATATAAAACATATTCAAAATGGTTCAGTAATATCAATCTGTGTAATGAATTGTGCATTCTAAAGTAGAATCCAATACAAAAAGTATTATTAATAATTGAATGATTGTACAAGGAAGTTCGATATATGTATTTGAATTTTGAAATTTGTCCCGTATGTACATATCAAACAAATTTACTAGCTTGGTAGTTCTAGAGTTAAATCGAAAGGAGAAGTAACGAATCCCCAGTGTTGTTAACTTTCATCCTGATTTGTTTGAACCTGTTCGCGTCAGTGCTATTACATTGGATGAACGTTAAGTAGATTTAGAATCCGTTAACAACCGAGTGGCAATAGGTGTCAAAGGAATAATCGGCTCATGTACGCGCTGCATAAGTGCAGTTCAACAGTATCTGCCTATACGTTTGTAATAGATAGGAGAGGACACTAGGGGAGTAATGAGTAGGTGACTGTCAGTTGCATCAGAGTTTCGTGTGATCATCGTACGCTGCCCGTTCTCGGTGAGTATCAGTCAATGTTGCGCAATATTTGAAACATCTTCCTACTTAAAGGACCAAAATCAGTGTAGACGCCAGTAGTAATAAAGACGTCATTGGATCAAACATCGAATGATTCTCAAGTTATCCCCTGAGCCTTTGAGTTTCTTAGCTTTTTTAGAGATCAAATGGCAAGATGATCAGGGTACATTATCATTTATATTTTAGTGCACTAGAAAGCTGGAATGTTAATATGTGTGAATTCGAGAATGTTTGACTGATGAAAAGCTGGAATTCTGATATCCAACCATCTGAGAATATTATTGCATTCCATTTGATCTTCAAAGGAGCTAGTTCTAATTCTGGGGTACCTCTAGTTGTAATATCAGAGTATCGTATTTAAAGGGCACGGCACGTACTTGGAAATCTTAGTTATCAATCATGAAGAGCCAGGTCGTGAAACCCTCAGATATCTCATACTTGATTGCTAACTTAAACGTATATTTCGCTTGCTTTCCCCAGACCGTCATGACACGCTTTATGATGATATTATTCCTGTTAATCGTATTGCTGCTAAACAGCCAGGATGTTTTCGGGCGAAGAGGACGAAACCGAGGTAAAAACAAATCTCGAGTTCAAATAGGAATGCCCATTACTGGAAAGTACCGTGATCCGGAGAGTGATCAGTATTACAACAATCATAACGTAGGTAGACCTATAAAACCTCAATGTATTATAGACCTTAACGACGCATTGAAGCTCTAAAAATATTTGTATAGGGCGCAAAGATACTCTTAGCATCGCACTTCGATCTGGAGTACGTTCTGGGGCATAAAATCGCCTTCCTCTGCGTTGCGCGTGGAAACCCACGCCCACACATCACATGGTTCAAGGACGGTGCTGAGATTTACAGTCACCTCTATCTACACGTGAGCATACTTGACGCTACCAAAAATAATCAAGCATGGACCTGGCCGACAGAGAGAATTTTTTTTGTATAGGTACATGAGTGGGAAGTGGGAACAGACAGAGTGAAGTCGAAGCTGGAGATTGATCCTGCCACTCAAATGGATGCTGGCATTTACGAGTGTACCGCTGACAACATGTACAGCATCGATCGCAGGTCCTTCAAGACTGACTTTTCTATTGCTTTCGATTAGGTTTACATTCCTTCAAGTAGTTCAGGAAGAGTAACCATAGACAACACCGCTTAGAAGTATGAAATAATCATAAACAGTCGCTGTATGTCAAGTTGGACAATAAATTCGGTTCATTGAATCGAAACTCACCTTCTTTCGTTCTTCACAATTTCAATGTAATCGAAGCTACGGGCGTAGAATCCATCGTCCGTTATTGTACCCCAGAAGTTACTCCACATTTTGTATGGTCTAACCAGCAATGGCGCGACTATACCTCGTTGCTGCTCTACCAGAAGCTTCAGAGTGTACTCGTTGTCCAGATGCGAGATGGAATCGATGGAAAAATAGCCAGAGCACCCTTTCGTCAAGCAATAATCCCTGTGAAACAATTTTTATTTAAAAATGAGAAAGATATAAAGTAGTTTCAATTCAAATAAGTGTTTTGCACGTACATGGATAAGATTCTAGCATCAACTTCGCTTATGGTATCGCTAGCAAGAATCTGCTTGCTACTCTTGTATTCATTTCCAAATTTCTTCATGAATTTGTCTACCACAGCTTGATGATACTCTACGTTATTGTGAATGAACAGATGAAGTTTCGATTTTGGATAAGATTGTCTGAGTATCGCGGCCAGGAATTCCTCCAAGAAAGGAGTAGGTTGTTCTATAAATATGGCCACCAATAATATTGGATAGGTTTCTGGCTGGGTTTTATTCAATTCTGTCGTGCCCTCCCAGCACATCGTGCATCCTTCTTCAGGATTCCAGGCTTCAGCCAAGTAATTGCCCAAAGAATTCAAAGATAGTTTGCTGTAACCGTTTCCGTGAAGTATCAACGGTTGTGTGTTGTAAACAGTGTTCAGAAGAGAAGCTTTTCCTCCTACAAACTTCAATTCCACATCAGCTGTAGAATACAGATAAGTTAACGCAATGCAATAATTTTATTAACTATCTTCCGATATTCTTATTTATTTTTTCACATACCAACAGCGCCATACAGATTCTGAAATATTTCAGACTTATGATCCAGTTTAATTTGATGACGTTCCCGCAGCTTCTCGTCAAGATATGCTTTGGTGTAGAACAACTGATCATCATCCTTATTTTTTATTGGAGAATAGGTCAAAATTGCATAGACATCTGAAGCATAGCCTATGAAGCCTCCAGAGTTTAGGAAGCGCTTCCCGCGAGTAGCAAGGGGATATTTAGAAGCCAATGACTTGTCTGGCCAGCAGGCTCCTTCAGCAGAGAAGAGAACTCTGGCGTTCATACTCTTAAACTTCTCAATAATTTGAGCTAAGTTACTCAGAAATATCACGTCATAACTGAAACATAAAAACAACTGTTAAATTATGAATTATCAGCATGTATGAAGAAAGTAGAAAACAGACCTGTCTGTAAATATGATAATCTTCTGTTCATCGAATTGGTACTCCTCTAGAGCTTTTTTCAGAAGGCTGACCTTGTAACCTCCTCCAGGACTAGTCTTTATATTGCCACCTTGCCAGGGCTGACCCAAACCAAGTACCTTCAAGTTATCTCGAAACCCATAAACATCCACAGATCTAAGGTATCTTTTGTAGCCATCTGTTTCATTGGTGGCAACAGTATACACAAGAACATCTGAAATAAATGATTACTTAATATGTTATCTTGCAAATTTTAAATTAGGAAGACATCAGTCATGCTTGAAGATATGGCCCAATGACTTGGAAATTGTGGGACGTGCTCGAATGAATATTTTATAGAAACTGTGATCTAGCCTGAATGATACAGTTTCAAATTGAGAAAAGGTTGGGGATGTAAATTAATGTGATATTTAATATAGTTAATTATCAAATGGTATCATGGTCACCATGGTAGCTTTGAATATTTTATTTCTTACATTTTTCACATTTGTCGTGAAATATTAATTGGTTATAAAGTTACGACGGTTTCTTAGAATAACAATGTTTAAAAGGGGTAACAATATTCTCATGATATGAGCGACACCCTGTATATAGTAAGTCACCGCCTGAATTAAGCACAGAATTGGAATATTTGCATCATAGTGCGTGGGCACGACCGCGCAGACACTTGCAATGTCCTTGCAATGTAAAATCCTTTCTCAGTTTGCGGTAACAACTTTTTGTAAATCATTAATCTATTTCTTTTCGCAAATTAATTTAAAGCAGATGCAGTATTCCGAAAAGGTAGAATTTTAGCAAGCGTGTACACCAGAGCGTGATACAGCCGGAAATGGAACGATAACGACTCTGCGCTCGATCCAGTTAGCCACCGGAGAAGAGATGCAAGCACCAAATTAGTAAAATTATTAAGCGTTTCTTTGTGCCCAGTCGACGTATCGCGATAACTGTGATCTTTCGTTCCTTCCGGAAACGAAAAAAACTCGACTGAAAAAACTCTTTGTAGGCACAAAGATATGTATTAGACGTAGAAATTAATTCTGCGCCTTTACATTCAATCATTTATTATTTATCTCCGTTTTGTAACTTTAGTTTAAGTAGAAAAATTTGCTCGTTACGTTAAAATACCAATATCCTAAGTTCTCGTAGGATAAAAGATTTATTTATTCTAGATCGATCTTAAAACGCTTTTCGCTGCGTTGTGTCTGCAGCACTACGATCCAGTTTTATTGTTTCAATTATTGCTGTAACCATGACCTAATATTTCGATCAATTTTATTACAGAAACAAGAGAATACAGTTTCAGATCTCCGCTAGGATTTTTGATGCATTAATAAGTCAACGATGTCAAGTGCATCAACAAAGATAAACAGTATCATAAATCGTCAACAGCCCCGTTCGAAATCGTACACCCCGTAGATAATCTTTAAACCTCCTCAGCATTTCTTGCAACACAAATTAATTTGCCAGCAACGCAAGTCAAGGCGGCAGCAATAAAGCAACAGCGATAAAAAGTCTTCTTTATTCCTGGTAAAATTATGTCATGTATAAGAATATCGAGATCTCGCCTGCCAGTGAACCAAGAGAGGTCAACTATCCTCACTCCAGTTGTCCGATAAACGAGATAAAATGATTTCAAGACAAATCGGCAAGTGGGATTCGCCATCTAACGCGAATACCTTCGAAACAAGTACTATATATTCGTGTCACGAAAATTCCGTTTCGTTGACGTAAAAAAATACGAGGTAAATTTTAAGTCCACCCGTGGGATACGATAATCGAAAGGACATACAGTTTGTCCTGGGGTCGATGAACCCAAAACTTTCCTTACCAGAAAAAAAAGGCGTAAATAATCATTAAATTCCCTCGCGGATGATTACAGGATGAAAAAAAGGGAATGTCTCAAAAGCTTTCTGGAACGTTCCATTATAGACCAGCGGCAAGCATACAAAAATTATTTCAGTACTAACCAGACCTCCCCTAAGTAAACAGTAGTAAAAATACCGGTAGAATACTGTAAACGAAAATTCTCGACTCGTCCAACAGCGATCCACGAATGTTTTAATTTATGTTTCTTACAATTTTTTTTAAATAGTTTACGAAATAGAAGAACAATCGTGTGGAGTAATAACGATAGCGGAAGATATCATTCATCTTCAATTCAGACAAATCGATTCGGATACATTTTCGGAAACAACTAAAACGGGCGACGAGGAACTACCCTTCTGCTTAAGGGTTTGAGAGAAAAACTATTTACCGTCTAGCTTTGATGATGGAAGAGTTTCGCTGACCACGTGGTACGTGAGAAACAAGCTCCAGAGGATACAGCATCCGACGTTTTTTTCACGCATTTCGACCGACAAGAGCTGTACACGAGCGCATCAAACGCACTATTCCAACTAAAGAGAGCCTCGAACAGCGGAGAGCAAGTTCGCCGCTACTCCCACGCTTTTTGAACGAAAGTTACTATCATCAACGCGCACGATCGCCGTTAATTTCCCTTTCTCGCTTACCTTTCCAAAAGAACGTAATAGAATTCTCGCAAGCATGATCCAACGATGAACCGACAACCGTTTAAGTGCTACAAACGCATCGAGTTCGTGTTTTCATTAAATTAATAATGACGGAAGCAACACACGAATCACGACGTGCGTTGCACATGCACCAACCTAACGACTCGCATTTAACTGGAACTACACTCTCAATTAAAACACACTGTTTATTGAAAGAATCTTTAGATAAACTTGTTTTTAATCAATGGCAAATTACTCTTTGACTTTTGTCTTTCCTTTCTTTGAGGTTTGGGAAGAATGTAAGAAGGTTGTACAGATGACTCCCAATGGCGTCCTTGTATGTAGCTACGGAATTGATTCACGTCTTACCAAGTAAAATTACTTTCATATGTTTACTAAACAATTACGAATTATTCAATTATTTCATTAACTCAAACTGTAAACGTGGAAAGTGAAAACTTAAACAAATATTTTAAACAGGGTCCTGGAGTTTCTAAGTACAGCACTGTCTGACTACTAGTGGCGCCATCGGTGGGAAAACGCCCAAGTTTATAGTGAAAATAGTTCCTATTGTTTCTATAAGATGACGCCACGAACTATTTTCACTATAAACTTGGACGTTTTTCCACCGATGGCGCCACTAAATTTAAACCCTGGAGGGGTTGCTGTCTGAACTTATTATTAAATAATTTATTAAAACAATATATTGTAGTGTTACAAAGCAAAGAATAATTACAAAATAAAGAATAAATCACTGATAGCGCCTCTAGTATTAAAACCAATATTCGCATACTTGAATCCAGTATAATGTAATGGTACCATAAATAATAGTATCATAATGCGAATAATATGTACTTACTTTTTACAATTGGACCTAGAGATTCGGTTTTCGATTTGTAATGTTCACCAATAGACTTTTCAAGTATATTTGATGAATTATCTTTACATGAAACGTGTTCTTCGTTGCCTCGTGTCGAACTGAAGCAAACTCCTTCGCCTGACACGACATGATGTATGCAATTCAATAACAGAACACCAAACAGCACGTTTCCCCCCTTGTACACCATAATTTTCCCATGCAATAACGTTGATAATTAAGAAACAATTGTCCGAAATTTTTGTATTACTTTCACTTTATTATAAGCAAATTTACAAAGAAATTATTATGCGCTACCCGTGATCGATGAACCGAGAGAACTAAATCGATTCAAGTAGAGGATCGGA